ATTCATAATGTATCAGTACATCTAAGGTGGTGATCTTCTGTGTAGTACATTAAATCATCCTCCCTGTGCCCTTAGTGTGTTACTTTTCTTGTTTTAAAAACATCATGCTGGTTATTGTGAATTAATCGTGAACAAAAAGATATTGGAGGTTTTGCTTAAAGCTAATAGAATTAAAACATATATAAGTATATAAGAAATTAAGTTTCAAGTTAATTACCACAGTAATTAATATTAACATATGATTAAAACAAGCTACATACATAGAACAAAACTAAAAATTAACCCAGGAATGAATATAATTAATAAACTATACTACTTTTACATTACTACTTGTAATCATGATTAAAATGAATGTTTTTGTTTTTTTATTCTCTCAGGTATACACTCACTGGTACTGATATTTTGACTGTATAACATAAGATTAATTGATTTGATATTAATTAGGATCAAAGAATAACTTATAAACATGTAGTAAGCTACTAATGTAAGTTAAGTCCAAGTATTTATAATACATCAAACCAGTAAGGTGCTTGAAATATTTTTATGTATATTATCCTGTGTGTGTGTGTGTGTGTTTCTAATTATGCTTTCATAATCACAATTGTAATGCAGATATACTGAAATTCTAAAGTACTTTTAATTGGCTTTGTTCTTGGCTTAAGTGATAAGTTGTTGTATTTCATAACCAAATTTACCTTAAGTGTAGTAAGACTAACTATTAGTGTACTTATCAGTTTGTTTTGTGGTGTATGGCTGTATATATTTGTTTCACCCTGCTGTGCATTTAACTTTTGTTTGGGTTTGATATAAATGGAAATAAAAAGTCATAGTTTCCATTGGCAAGGTAGTTTTGCATGGACTTGATTTTATTATAAATGTGGTAATGTTACTGACGTCTTGTTCTTGTGCATACTTGCTGTTGGCTAAGTGTATTGTTACTTTGAGGTTTTCTGCAGTTCACCATCTAGGAGTGTAAAACTTATCAAAGGTTTATTTTGTCACTTGATTTGATGCATTAATATAATAAAATAAACAATATGTTTTATTGATCACAAAAGATATGCATAAAATTTACATGACTGAGGTGAAGAAGATGTTATATTAAGTAAATTAGGCCAGTTTCTTTGAAGCAGGTAAATGGAAAATGTATTAATTGTGCCTAAATTCTGCAAAATGGTGGTCTGAACATTTTCTGGGCTTATTCAAGTTGTCTTCAAACCAAGTATGTGGCATCATCCATTCCACCCATGTACTGGCAAGATAAAAAGTTTAATCACAAATAAAGGTTCATCTAGAACATCAATGCCCCAAAATTAAAGAATCAGTTGATTTCAGGACCAAAAGGATGAACCACATAGAATTAAAGACCTAGTCATAGCACTAGGGCTTTATATTGTATCAAAAGAAGATTTGATTGCAATGACTGGTCATATGGTGCCATAAAAAATCCAAAAAATGGACCCCAGTACTCAAGGTATTAGGTTAGTTTGTGTAAGTCTTCCATTATCATATTGCTTTAGCTAATATAGACATATCAAGATATTTTAATCAGATCTTAGTATAGAATAAATCCAAAGAAACATGCCACTTACAGGTTTATTCTAAGTTTGGGTGAATCAGTTATGTATGTACTTGGGTTTTTCTGACCTCCCAGAAATTAAGATGTGGGAAACCATTTTACTATGGTAATACTTTAACTTGGTCAGTAACCGAGGGCCACAAGAAGCCAAGGTTAAATCATGGTATTGCAACCTTAATGAAAATCTTTTTGGTAAACTCTGACAGTATGGGTATATTGTTAAACTTTAACGAAATGGCAGTTGGAAACATGCCAGTTGTTATCTGTATTGTACATGTATGTTGTTTTGCTGCAGTTTCTCTGTACTGTAGTATAACTTCTTTGTTCTTGTGGTCATATTCTATAGTACTGCACAGCACACACAATTATTAAAAATGTTTTTTGCAATTGCATTAGATTTATGTAAGTTAGGTCAAGGCTTTGTCTATTCTCTCTACTTTGATTGTAAGTGCTTATTTGATTTTAGGGTCTAGTACCGTCAGACATGTTTTTAATCTGTCTTGATTCTGATAAGGTGAAAATTTTCATTTTTTAATATTGAAATCATGTGTATAGGAAAGGTGTACTGTGATTTTAATTGAACTTGGGACATACTTGGTCTAACTTCTTTATAAAATCATCAATAAAATATGATGATTTCTTGTAGCAGTTTTTCACTACATTTATAAACTGTTTTTATTTACAAATCATGTGATTCCAGCAGTAGTATATTACTGAGTCACAGGTACACACTGCTTGCTGATACACACATGAGCAGCATTCCTACTGATAATTATTGCTCGTCATAGTACACTGTAAGCTAGTGGTTTTATTGCATAGTGGAAGAATTACATGTGTCTATTGGCCTTCTATTCCTTACCATACTTGGCCATTCTCTAGATATTTGTGTTTTTTTCTCTACATAAAGCACTTGATCAATCAGACTTACCTCACACTTCAAGTTAGTATTTAAGAATTAAAACAAAATATAGTTAATACATGTAACATTTTCATTGCTAATTCTACTGAAAATTACTATATTCAGAAAACTGTATATTTAGAACTATTGCAGTTCTTTTTTTTCACACTGTGCAAACACACCAATTTCTAGATGTAAATTGCACAAAATGTTTGATGGAGATTTCATACTGTGAAAAGAGTAAATTCACATTATTCAAGGGACTATAACTGAGTAATTAATGAGATGGAATTTTTTCAATTAATCTGCACTTACACTGTTGTAATCAAGAAGATCAACATTGCAGTTGGTTCAAGTTACTTGTTAACACAAAAAGTATAGTGCAAAATGCTGTGTGAAAACCACTAAATATAATAATAATAATGATTAAAACTGAACTGCAAACAAACATAAAAGAAGATGCCTATGGATACTTTCATGTCATTCCATGCAGTCTTCTTTCACTAAAAAGCAGAAAAGCATTCTTTTATTTTCAGCTTTTTACAGAACTAAGAATTTCTAAAATAACAAACAAAAAAAACTTACATATTCAGAACTTGCTTGATCTGATATCTATTCAGAACTTGCTTGATCTGATGTCTGTTTAGTAACTTGTTTGATCTGATCTCTGCAGTGGAAATACTTTAG